GTCTTATGCCAGCATGGAGAACATTGAGCACTATCTCTGCCCCACAGCTTTCAGTGCACTGCTTCTGGCCGGGCTCTTTCACCACACCACGCAGGAAACTCAGAGCTGCTTCCACCCAGAGCAAGAGTCTATAGCAGGATCTCTGAAGACCTGAACTCTTGCTTTCAGATACAGTGTCTTGTTTCCTATTGCATAATGAAGCTTGGCCAAAACCCACACCACCATTTACCATGCTGGTGCACAGATGCTTTTGCTAGAATAGAGTTAAGCCAAACTGAGCTGTGTTTGAATCAGCAGAACTTGGAAGGCCAAAACACAAGGTTGCAGCAGCTTCTCCTCCCCACTTTCCACGGCTGCATTGTGAGTGTGCATTCATACAGGCTTGCCAAACCCTAAAGTCAGGTGTCTCCACTACCATGGAGTTTAGGGCCAAAGGCTAAATTCAGCTCACACACTGAAGTCAGTGTGGGTGCAAGCCAGATTGGAGCTTCAAGTCTGGTGGTTTGAGGAGAAGGAAACAACTTTGCTCCAATTTAAAAAGGGGAGATAAGCAAAATAAAACCCCCTCACAGGGCCCCAGAGATCATTTCCACCAGGTTTAGGAACTGGCCTCTGTGTTTCATGAGAGTTCTCCACCCTGATGGCCATTCTCATTGAAGATATTCAACCCCCTTTCCTAGGGCTCTCTCTCCCTACAAATGCCACTGGGGGCTTTCACAGCAGTGTAAGCCAAGGCTTTAAACGTTCTGCAATGTAAAAAAGGCTTTTCCACCCTTGCTCATCCGACAATTACACTTTAGGTCTCTGCTCTTAGTTCTGTTTGGGTAGGTATTTCCTATCCATGCTTACTCTTCTTGAGCATCTCCAGGCAGCCCCCAAAGCATCCTGTAGCCACCCAACTCACTGTTACAGATCAAGCCTATAGCATCCCAGTATTAACTGTGTTTGGTGTATTTCCTCTGCTGTTGAAAGCAAAGCAAGTTCTGTCTCACCCAAGCAGAATTAGTACAACATGGAGAGGAAATCCTAGAGTACCTCCAAGGAGGAGGAAGATTTCCAGCAAGGAAACCAGGTGTGTGCAGCAACTTTAATAGCAAGAGGAAAATCAGTTTTCCAAAGTTATTGTTTGTGTCAAGGTGCAATATAGAAAAGCTAGGGCCTATCCCAGTGTCTCATTGAAGCTTCATTGTCTTTTTCCTCACGTTATCATAAACTGTCTTCAGCACAAAGGGCTAAATACCTGCAGAAACAAAATGAAGAAAATAATTCTTCCAAAATCCTACACTCATTCTATGTACCTTATAACTAGATCCACTTTAGTTGGGTTGCTCCAACTCGGTCATATCTGCACACTACAGCTTATCTCTGCATACCCTCATTGTGGCCTATGGTTCTCTAGTTATACATCAGCACATATTGCGTCCACCACAGCAGAAAATCAGGCTGCAGAGGGGCACAATTTCATCAGATGTACTGACCTGTCCGGGACAGGGGTTGTAGGAAAATGTTACAGAGAAACTGCCATAGGCAGTAGTGGCATGACAGTGCCAAGTCTGAGCACAAGCCCAGCCCACCATCCTGCTCTGCCCCACAGGGATCCCAAATCAGCCTGATTCATGGTCAGAGCTGTCCCTTTCACACCTCTCTTTGCAGATACTTCTGGGCAATGGTTGTATCTATTCAGGAAAAATTCCTATGGATTCCTTTAAGGCCACTCCTTTTCCTTACTCACTCCCTGGTTTTCCTTCTTTCTTATTTCAGATCCCAACCCTGCTGCTTGGCTGCAGTAAAAGCCCTCAGGGAGGACAAGCATTAGGACGTTTACTTTTTCAGCTGCTCCGAAGCACCCAGAGGCAGAAAACACAAGCCAGGCAGCCTGCATCTCCTTAGAACCCCAACCCTTTTCCCTCTGCATCCCCAACCCTGCAGCCATCCTGCGTGCCTGGAGAAGGCAGCCTGGGTGAGCTGCCACTTCCCCTTCTTGCAGCCCAAGTGACCTTAGTGTGAAGAAATGTCTTCCTGGTATTCAGCTTATGTTTCCCCTTTCCCAGTTTATCCCATTGTTTCTGCTTAACCCTTCCTCAACAGCCCCATCACCCTGAGAAGCTCTAACTCTATTTAGCAGCCATACACATTTCTAATATGCTTTAGGTACTAATAACCCAGGTCAGCAACTTCTATGGCACCTCAACACATGGTACGTATTCTTATGCCTTTCAGATGTCCCTTATTTCAGGTCTTGACATAATTCAGCTGAAGGGTATTGACAGATAAGCACAAGCATGCTGTGGCTGTGAGACTGACTATTGCTACCTGGAAAAAAAAAAAAAAAAAATCAGAACCTTTTGTTAAGAGAATTCCTGGAAGGTTGTTTGAGAGCAGCTTTTTTTTACGTTTCCTATGAATTTCCATTGCTTTTTCCCAAACAAATACAAAATATTCCATAAAAACAACCCAAAACGAGATGTGAAGTGACATAAGAAGATAGCAGAAAAATATCCTCTGTGAGCAACACTTAACTACACTGAGCATTGTCTTACAGAGCCCAGAGGGGGCTCTGCCTTGGGATCTTTAACCCTTTAATACTTGCTACACTCTTTCCAGACAGGACTTAACACCCTTAACACAGGCATGTGAGACTTGGTAGCCTCATATTGCTAAATTTTCCCCAGTTTTCCTTTCCAACTGGTTTACCTCCTTTCAGCCATTCAAAGTTAAGTTCCAGGAACTTCCTCCTTGATCCCAGAACTTCTAAGTAGAAGGATCAATCACAAGCAAAACATTTCTTTGGCAAATCATAGCTCAGACTGGGTCCTGTGCAAAGTTCTGAGTGGTTTCTCACTGAATAAAAGCCAGTTTCATTCAGACTCCTGGGCCAGACCAGAAAGCTCAAACCAGCAGGCAAGTTTCCCATTTGCAGCAAAACCCAAAGCTAGGAGAGCTTGTAGTCTCGTTGAAACAGCTTTGAAGTATTCTATATGAGCAGACCTGTCCTTTGCAGGGATGCTCCTGCTGAGAGCCACACTGTTCCCTGCCGGGATGGGCAAGGAAGGGTAGAGTGGTGATGGGTAACCCACCAAAACCTTCAGAACTCAGTTCTCATCTTCCTATCACCCTTGTACAAGCCTGTGGATTAATTAGCAGACATTCAGGGCTTGATGATGCTCAAAGCACTGTTGAAGGGTTAATACCAAGACTGTTTTCACAAAGCGAAAGAAGCTCTGGCTATGACTTCCCTTTGTTTCCCTCCTCCTCCCTTCCCCACCTTCCCTCCTGCTGCTTCTTCTATGAATAGGCCTTTACTGTGTCTCAGGAAAAGAAATGCCTCTCTGAGGGCCTTGCTTTCCCCTGACTGCTTGGGGCCATCAGGCAGCCAGTCAGACGGTGGCCTTTGTAATAGGGAAAGCTTCTTCCAGGCAGAGGAAGACACTGCCTGGGGCTTCTGTATTCACAGCCTTTCTATTTCTAGCTCTCCCTTTTCACGGGGCTTTGTTTGCTAAACCCCACTCCCTGCTCCCCCCAGGCCATCAGTGAGCATACTTATCTTAGAGGCAAAATAAACCCCAACATCTCTGATAGAGCCCACCCCAGAGAGAAGAGTCTTTGCCATCTTACCTCTTCTGCCTTTTCTACTTCCAGGGAGTTTGCTGGAAAGGAGACTAACTAATAGGATGCTTTAACAGCTTAAATCCTGCTCTGTGGATGCCAATTTGCCTCTTGAGGTGGGAAGTAGAAAGTAATCCTATTTTCAATATAGGTATGGATAGACTGTGCCGATACTGAGCTCAAAGTAGTTTGAGAAAGGTCACTGCAATAACATGATGCATAGGCTCAGAAAGCTCCAAGGAGCTGGCACAGGATGTTAAGGTAAACCAAACATCCCCAGCCCCTTTCCTGACCCCTGACAGAAGGATTTCAGCCCACAAAAGGGCACACTGAAGCCAATGGTCAGTCAGCTCCCTCCATCCTTCACTACCTGCGTGCTTTAAGGCTTTTCAGCCAGGTCACAGCTCTTTCAGTGCGCCCTGCTCAGTAGCCACCAGCCCCATTGGCTCATTCGGGCTGCAGCCCTTCACTCCCTCAATCCACATGCCCCAACATCCATCACCACCTGGGGTGCAGCCATGCTTTGCACGGGTTTAGTGCTTTGCTGTCTCTTGTCTTTCCACTTCAGAGAGCTTCTGAATGCCAGGTTTTCTCCATGCCCATCTCACAGCACAAGGATCCCAAAGCAGGCACCACCAGTTTAATTTCACACCACATTATAGCATGACAGCCTATTCTAAAAGCAGGCAAGTTCACCTAGAGCAGGGTCACACGCTCAGCTTGATGCCAGACTCAGGTGATGCTTAAAGTTCCTTGTCACTGCCTTGCCAAGGTGTCCAAAATACATAGGAAGGGTAAAGTGCTGCAGGCTCTCAAGATCTGCACAAGATTTTATTTACCTCTGCCTTCACATATTAGCTCTCTAGATCTAACACAGACTTGTAGAACAGTTTGGGTTGGAAGGGATCTTAAAGATCATCCAGTCCCAATCCTTTGCCATGGGTACGGACACTTTCCACTAGACCAGGCTGCTCAAAGCCCAGTGAAAAGAAAGACTGCTCACAGGCAGGCTACTACATCAAGATGGATTAAGGTGAAAGAAAAACTCGGATCTATGCTCATCTTCAATCATGTCTTCCTGAACCTCTTTCCTAAAGTTTTTCCTCAGTTTTCCTGCAAGCATCCGTTTAGGCCAGCCTCATCAGTGAAGCAGTAGCTTAACTACTCTCCCATGTGAGGGCTACAGAGCATCCTTCTGTAGGTTTTTCCATCAGTGGTTATTTGAACATTTGTTTTCCAATGTCTCTTGACACAAATCAGTGTTCAGGCACGAGTCTGTCTCACACTTCTCCTGCAGTCAAGCCCATTATTGCAATCCTCACCCACAGCCACTGAGGCAGTCATACTTTGACCAATCTTTTGGCACTGTCATACCTCCAGCGAACTGCAGCCTTGCTCAGGGAGGTTTATGCCTTGTCACCATTGATGCCTACAAAGTCACCAAAGGCATATGCCACCTTCTCAGCACTCCCTGGTGCTCTCCTGAATAGCAAAAGGTCTTTATACCACCCTCTTTCTGAACTTCAAGCCAGCTGGTCCTTCAGCTAGGAAATTGTCCATCTTGGGAGCAGATTTCTCCAGGATCCCACACAACAGTTTGATAAGGTACCAGTAACAAGAGTGTGAAGTGGTTTCCATCAACATTTGATGATGAAAGTAATCTTTTTTCCCACAAAAGGACCATCAGGGACTTGGTTGGAATCTTGGAGTATTCTCCAGACTCCCAGCTACAACTGACAAGGTTTGATCTGCCCATGTGAACACTCCTCCATTCACTACTTGCCTCGCCAGCTCAGCCGGTTAGTGCTTTTTGATATCCAGCCCATCAGTTCTCTTGAGCACACACATTTCCTCATCTGGCAGCAAACAGAGGAGAAGACATCTGTGTGCCCAGGTCACAAGGGCACACCAGTTTCAGCTGGTTTAATTGGGGCCATTTGTCCTGGTAATTTTCAACAGAGCAACAACAGTCTTGCCAGAACAAGTTCTTGGCTCCCTAAGCACTTACTAGGAGCCACAGCAGGAACAGGGCTTATTAGAGAAGCAGCAAGTCCTTTTATTTGCACAGCAACATTATTTCCTCACTGCTGGCCAGTGCCTGGATGAACACTGAGCCCAGAGGTGAAGGACTTGCATAGCCCATTACCCAGACTCCTGAGCCATGCAGTTCCCAGCTGCCACTGCTCTTGGCAGATCACCATGTTACACAGAAGCTCGGGCTCTGCCCTTTCTCCTCCAATCTCAGCTGAGAAACAATGTGAAAACACATCTCCTTGTCTCCAAGTGTTCCTTTGTTCCTCCTCAGCTGATCTGCTCCTTGCTCATCACCTTGAGGGTGCAGGGGAGAAGACACTCAGCATTTCACACTTAACCTCCCACATGGTGGAAGCTGGAAACACGCACTGAAATATGGGCAATTGAGAATACAATTACAGCTGAGAGTAAGTTGTGTTGTAACTGGCAAACTCCAGACACAGCCATGAGAGGATGCAGCGATGTGCTCCTTTACCCCAGCCTAACTGCCAGGGGGCCACTCTCCTACAAACTGCTTGCTGAAAGCTAGATACACCTTCAGGTCTCACACAAGTAACAAGCTCAATCCCTTCTCCTTTGATTAAAATAATGATTAGAGATGGTTATTGGAAACATCAGGAAGCCTTGCTCCCATTTTGAAACTTTACAAGCTTGGTGACCCTCCTGGCTACCTACATATGCAAAGGAAGCCTGGCAGATCCTGAGTGCCAAGGCAGAAAATCCTTCCCCTCCCAGCAGTACAGTAGAACGAGTGTTTTCATCAGTAGGTACCAGCACGATTTGCAGAAGAAAGCAGCATGTTATCTACTGCACTTCTTGGAGAGCAGTCAGGAGGTGGCAAGGCTGAAGTTAGAGAACAGCAATGGAAAAGAGACAGAAGACAGTTGGGGAAGTGAAGCAAAGCTATGTCCTCTGCAGCTGAGCTCAGGATGTCCTCATTTTTAAAGCCCCTAGAAACAGGTCTTTAAAGAGCTGCCTGGAGCCATCCAAAAAGCCAGGCTGGGGCTTACCAAAGCAAATACTCTTCCTCCATGTAGGCTTACGCATTTTTGCTTCCATTTAGCTGCTCAGAGCTAACTCTAGGAAATACCAGACAAAACTGCTAAAACATATCAGCGGCACAAAAGGAAGAGTTTGCCTGCCCCCAGCCCTCTGAACTCTTTTAACCTGGCAAACCCTAGAGCAATACAGACACTGATGGAGAGACTCAAGGCGGGTAGAGGCAAGATCTGCTATGCCATCAGGTAGCCAGGCTGGTAGAGGAGGGTATACCTACAACTCCAAAGTCCATCTGCATGCCTGGAGCCCAGCTATGCATCGGTCTTCAAAGACACTTCGTGGTTTGATGAGTCACTGAGCTAGAAAGCCAACCTATGCCCCCAGGAAAGCATCATCACATCCCTCTTCACCCAGAGGAGGAACTCATCTGCAGACACTGGGACACTCACTGTTCCTGTAACTGTCTCTTGTGAGCCCTTTCCCAGCCCAAGCATTTTCTACTGAATTCAACACCAAAGATTTGGTTCTGGCTACAGCGTGGCTCATGCCTTTGTACCAGAGGCCAGTGCTGCAGGTAACACTTCACTCCCAGTGTAAGGGGCTTTGTTACTGCACAAAGACAAGGTGATGGTACCTACCCCAAACAGCTCAGCCTAACAGAGACCCATTACCCTCATTTTACAAGAAGCCAGTCAAAGCTTGGGGGACAAAAGGATTTCCCTGCAAAGGCTGTGGCTGTCCTCAAGACCACATGCAATGCCATGCTGCACCACCACGCTTCTGCACCCGCCCAGCATCACTGACCTGCTCAGTGCTGTCTCTGCAACACTGACCAGCACATGCTCAGCACCAGTTAATCTTCTGACATCCAAAATCCAGCACTGTCACATTAGTGCTGGCCTGCAGGATAAGGAGCAGCAGGTCATGATGACTGAAGCCTCATTGAAATGCAGCGTGCACACTCACAGGAACTGCAAATACACTAAATATGAAGGACAAGCAAAGGGAGCAAGGGGATTACTCCGAGTACTCAGAGTGGTTTAAAGGGAGCAGGCATGAATGCTTTGCTTTAGCAGCAACTCAGCTGACGCATCCAAACCTTCCACCCGGGGTGCATCCTCACTTGGATCAACACCTCACTCCTTACAGGGTACTTCCTAATGGTCTATTGATTTCAAGAGATGTCCCAGTAAACATGTTGCAGAAGGATCAGCAGCCCATCAGCAATGGTAAGTTCATGTGCTAGCACCCTGCTGTTCAGTGCAAAAGGGAAAATGAGTTTTGAGAGGGTAGGTTGCTGGCAGGTCAATGTGACACTTGTAGTTCTGGCAACAAGCAGCCCACCTCAGAGCAGAGGTAACGTAAGCAGGCATAGCACAGCCTCCCCTCTGTGACCTGCCCTCAAAACCAGTGTCACCTCCTGGTTCAGCTTCCCAAGGCTCCTGCCACCCTCCCAATGTGTCTGCATCCCTGTAGGAAACATCATTTGCCAGCCCCAGCTCTGCCAGGGCAAGGCATGCCCCAGAAACCACCTCCCTGCCTGCCCCAGGTAGGAGATGACCTTCCTATGGGCCTGGAGAACAACATGAGGGGCAGAGTGGCTCAGCCATGCAAGGAAGGGTCTGGCAGGAGGCATTATTTGGGAGCAACCTCTGCTGAGGAGCAGGGCAAGGACTGAATTTCTATTCTGGGGCTGTCTGCACTTCCCGTTCGGTGCGACAGCCTCAAAGGGGAACTAGTATTTACAGGGCTCTGGTCACGTCATCCCATTGTTCCCATACAGTCAGGAGGCTGCCAGGAGAGAGGACGAGAGAGCAAAGCATCCCAGCGGGCTGCCCCAGCCCTGCTCCCCACCAGTGGTGGCACTTTGCAGGGAGGTAAAGCAAAAGACACTGTGAAGTCAGTGATCTCCTACCACAGGAGGATCACGCACAGCTAGGAACACAGCTTCTCCCTCCCCAGGCATCTTCCAACTGCAGGAAAAGCAAAAAAGACAGAGGAAGATTGTTTTTCTCTAGCAATCTAGAAGATGCAAATGCATTCTAAAGCCCTTGTAGATCCAACAACAGGAGCTTTTAAGCCTTTTGAGGATGGCAGCTTCTCAGCTGGTCCAAAGCAACCCCTTCTCCAGAGCCATTCTGCTTTCTGATGCACACAGGTCAGTGTCATGCCACAAAGAGGCCTGGTGCCTTCTGCATGGGCAAGGAGAGGAGCCTCCTGCAAAATGAGGGCATACCAGCAGGGCCCAAAGGTGCCCCAGGTGGAGACAATGGACACCTTCCACCATGGGCATCATGCACATCAGTGGGGATGAACAGCAGAGCAGAGGAGAGAGAATAAAAGAGGAGCCTCACAGAAGAAAGTTGTGGAGTACAGGAAGGGAGGGTAAAGCAGACATAGCAAAGAGAAGCTAAGAAGCAACTCTTGTGCACACAGGCTCCTGCAGCAAGAAGCAGCCCAGCATGACTGAAAGCCATTTGGGGTTACCTCAAGATGTTGCTCTCCAGGGTTGCTCATCATCACTACTAAACAGAGGAAGCCATTTTGCTCTTGATGGGAGGAAGAAACAGGGATAGAAGAGAGATGAACCAGAAGGAGGTCTCACAGCAGTTCTAAGCCCCAGCTGAAGACAAAGGGCTTTTATAGGCAAGACCAGCCAGGCTAAGGGATGTCAGTAAATCGCTCTCATTATATTCTTCACCTGTGCCAGGAGAGAGCTGCATCTCCTAGGGCTGCGCAAGAAAGAACTCAATAAAGATGATGAAGCATCAAGATGACAAAGTAATGGGGGTTGTGCAAGTTCCCACGTAAGCAGGTCTCTCTGTTTTAGCACAATCAGTAACTGAAACTGTCTTGATGATCATTTTTTCCTACACTTTGAAGTCTCTCTGACTTTGTTTTTGCAGGAACACCTTGACTTAGTGCTGGTTGCACCTCAGGCTCTGCTCTTCCACGGCCAGGGACTCCGTCTCTGCCACGAACAGCATGAAAGCAGCCTAAGCATTTACACATGTACAGCTCGGGCTGTGAGAAAGGTCCAGCCTCCAAACTTTGACAATCAACTTCAGAGGATCCATAGTTTCACCTGCAGTATTTGCTGACCTATAGAGCAATCATGTAACACTTCATGGAGTGAGAACCCCTGTTTCTCTCTACCTTCGGCATGCTTTTATACACGATGTTTAATTTAATTTTGTTGTTGTTGTTGCAAAGCCTGCCTTTCCCTATTTCATTTCCTCTTTACATTCCAAGACAACGGCCTGTGTGCAAGGATAGCAGCTGGTTTATTCCTGGAATTAGCACTCAGTTACTGGACAGACAAACACTGGGATTTCTGCAGGAAACTCTGCTTTCCTGATGTGTTGCTGTTTTCCTTAGGCTGAAGTTTAGAGCCAGAACAGACGGCTGGGGCTTTGTCTATGGAAAGAAAGAGTTCACTCCTTGTCAGCAGTAACGTGCATCCTTTCAGAAACAGAAATATTTGCCCTCTTCCCTTTCAGCAAGACGTTTTGGCACCATTATGAACCCAAACCTTTGGCAGAGCCATGCAGGCAGCGAGACAGACTCCGCTGAAGTATGAAGAGCAAAGGGGATCACAGCTCAGTGCTGCATGAAGGGCGCAGGAGTCCTCCCCTCACAGCACTGGGTGTTTGCAGAGCTGCTGGCTCAGAGGTAGAGCAGGAAAGGGCTCAGACTGCAGTACCTTGTTTGCATGTAGAACAGCTCCTCGCATCACAACAGCTCCAGCTCCATCAGTGGCCTGCAGAACTGACACTCGTCATGTTTCCCAAAAGAGGGAAATCCACGCTGGAAGTCTGGGATTTGTATTTTGGACCAACAGTAAGGCTGGGGAGAGAGCCCCACACATGTACCTCCTCTGTGACACCTGACAGCTCCTCAGGAGTCACCAGCTTCCATGCATTGGGAGGCTTCTTGGTTAGCCAAAGGGCTATTTCGGAAGGCTGGAGGAAAGCAACATTGTGCTTGCGCTGCCACGAGCCTGCTGGAAGCAGAACAAACCCTGTGACAAGGCTTGTTTTTTGCCTCCAGGAGTCAGGAAGCCCAGTTCAGCCCGAACATGCTCAAAATAACTGCTGAAAACGTTGTGTGCTGATCCAGTACCGGGTGAAACTTCAACAAACGTGATGTTTTCCCATCCCCGGCTATATTTACTTGCAGACTTGCTCGGGTGACCTCGCTGAGGAATGAGGGCACGTACAGTACTGCTGCAAGGTGCTGTAAAGACTCACTGCCTCTAACAAAAAAGCCCAGTGCTGTTTCTGAATGAAGAAGTGCATTGCTTAAGGAAAGGCAGTCTCTTCACTTTCAGTTCAGGCATCCCACCCCTGATCTTTATAAGGGCCCTCCTAGGAAAGGCAAGCAATGTCCTCTGGTCAAGGCAGACTCCTTTCGCCCTGCTCTCACCTGCCTTTCTCCTTCCCTTGCCTCTCCTCCACATCCATGTGCAGGCTTTGGCTGGCCCTCAAGCCTACGCTCCTCTTGCAGACATGACCCTGCAGCACTTACTCATTGCTTGTATCTGCACAAGCCCGCTCAGGAAGATTACTCACATAATGAAGGGCCCAGGTACCCTGCAAGCATAACCATGCCTTTGCAAGTGGCTTTCAATCCCCTCACCTGACCTCGTTCACACAACACCAGGGAGTTACAATCCCTCAGCCTTTGCCTGTGCCTATCATGGTTTTAACTACACAGCCGTGACAGAGGGCAAGGCATGGCCAACCTTCCAAAAGCACCTTCAAGCCTCCCCATGGAGGTCAGCTCTTCTCAAGTCTCACCAAATGCACTGGCACTGGTGAAGCTGATGTCCTCCATCAGCCATCCCATGCACCCTCATCCCATGTGCCAGACACCTACACCAGTAACAAAGCAGGAAGCATTTGTGCCGGGACACGTGCACTTTAAGGGCTGAAAATGCCCCCAGGAGCTGCAGAACAGCAAGTCACAGGTGCAAACAGGGAGAAAAGACATAAAAAGAGTAAGGGTTGAGCCTCAGTATCTCCTCCTGCCCCATCCCAGAGTCACCAAAGGCTGCCGGAGCCTTTGCAAGGCAAGCACACAATATTAGAACAGCCAAGCACAAGTGTCTGCAAATCAGATGTCCAGATAAAAAGGGCAATGGGCTTGGGTTTGGCACTGAGTTCTTTCAAAAACCAAACCCCTGAGTGAGCGGGGATTTGATCATGCATTTTTGTGTTGGTTTCTGCTTCTTTTTTAATATGACCTGGGTCCTCTTTCCTTTCCATTCCTGAACCTTCAGCATATTCCGTGATTCAATGAGTCTATATTTTACTTTCTCAAGGTTTTCTCTGGGGAAAAAAAGGGAGGGGAAAAGGGCTGAAAATGTTCCTTCTCATTTAAAAGGAAGCTGAGGCTCCCTGACAATGGGATGACTCCAGCAGCTGGGCTTTTAAGGACACTCTGGAAATTATGAGACTCCTGATAAAATCATAGGATTGGCAAAGCCTTATTTCCCCTGAACAATTATGATTTCTTTGCCTGTGGGTATCACTGTGTTGAAATGCCTCTAAAGTTCCTGCTATGTCATTGAATTTGCATGCATTTCTTTTCGGTTCCTTCCTTCTCCAGCCCCTGCCAGAGAGCAGACATTCCTGAAAATCCACTAACCACACTCCCATAACTTTACAGCCTGAAGACCTTGAAGCAAATGAGCCTTGAAGAGTAATTGTAGCATTACAGGCACCAAATGATGCTGAATTATGCAGCGCTTAGCGGACGCTGCTTAGTGGGTTGATCACAGGGAAAAACATTGGCTAACGTGAGAAAAAAAATCACTTGTCCAAATGGTACAGCAATGCTGTTAGCAACTCTATTAGCAAACAGAAACAACAGAGACTCCTCTGTCTGCGTGGTGGGGCTGGACCACAGGAGTCCCACTTTAAACAGTAAAACGTGCTAGGAAAGGACATCTCCTTCTAGAGGATGTTTCAACCCACCACATGTATACGTTCCCCTCTGGAGCGTCTGCATTGCTGTAACAGGTAAAAAGCACCATTCAGGATGAACCAGGTTTTGGAGGCAGGCATGAGCCAACGTTTCCATCCTGCTGACTCAGATGCTGTGGGATGCACAGACCTTAATCAAGTGTGCTGGTTTTGTCTGGGATAGAGTTCATTTTCTTCATAGTAGCTGGTAGGAGGCTGTGTTTTGGATTTGTGCTGAAAACAGTGCTGATAACACAGGGATGCTTTAGTTACTGCTGAGCAGTGCTTGCACAGAGTCAAGGCCTTTTCTGCTCCTCACCCCACCCCACATGAGTAGAGGGGGTGCATGAGGATTTGGGAGGGGACACAGGCATACAGCTGACCCCAACTGACCAAAGGGATATTCCAGACCATATAGTGTCATTCTCAACATATAAAGCTGGGAGAAGAAGAGGGAAGAGGGGGGGACATTTGGAGTGACGCTGTTTGTCTTCCCAAGTAACCATTAGACATGATGGAGCCCTGCTGTCCAGGAGATGGCTGAACATGTCTGACTATGGGAAGTGATAAATGAATTGTCTGTTTTGCTTTGCTTGTGCACAGAGATTTTGCTTTACCCATTTCCATTCTTCACATATAGGAATCAAGCTGAAATTAAGCATTAATTAAGAAATTAATGTAGAAGATAAGCAGCTTGCTCAAGCTCACACAGGAAACGGGTGAGGACTGAGGGATGGGAAGTAGGTGTTCCCCTGACTGGACTGTCACATGGTAATGCCTTCCTACCAACACCTTAGCATTGCATAGGACCTGGGAAACACAAGGCTGCTGTAACGCTTGGAGGTCCCCTTCCCCAAAACTTCTGTATTTTTCACGGACAAGAACTTGAACGAAGTGGGAAAGGAATGGGGGAAAGTCTATTAAGGCCCTCACCTTCATGGGCGCAGGTTAGCAGTGAGACTGATGGATGGGGTAGTGGGAAGAGCAGGAGCTTTGTTGGGTTGACCAAGGAATCCCCATGCAGCAAGTATGTGAGATGGCTGGCATTCTTGGGAGGTGAAGATGGGCAGCATGTGGCTCAGGTGTGTAGGTATGAGGGGCCACACATTAGCACCAACAAGAGCAAATAAGCCTGCCACTAACAGTGCATAGCTTCCCCCCAGAGTGTAGATTCCATGCATCCCCATGATTCCTTGCATCCCCAAACGGTGGGAAGTGCGTGATAAGTTTCCCAATGCTTACACCCCACGTTGTTCTTCATCCCCCTTTCTGAGCCCCTCGCACAGGCTGTGAAAACAGCGAGCACCAGCATCTACCACTGCACAGGATGAAGCAAGAGTTTGAGGGAGGACAGGGAGAAGGGAAGGGTAAGTAGGTGACAGTCTGACCGAGGAACGCATGATAACGCCCGACGCGCAGAGCCAGGCTGCAGGCATTTCCTGACCTCAGGATGCTGGCAGCTTTGTCACCTCTGAGCTTGCCTTCACGTGGCTTTGAGATGCTGGCCGCAGAGCCTCCAGGCTGATGGAGAAGTGCCTGAGTCCGTTGTCCCACTTGCATGCACACAGGGACGTACAAGCGAAGGCTCTCTGTTACCTTTTGGCTTGCCACTGTGGCTGGGTGTTTAAACACAGGTGTCTGCTGCTGTTGACACTGAGTGATAAGTGGAGGCATTTTTTCCATTGGAAAGAATCTCAAGAATTTCCCTGTTCTCTTTTTATTCTTTGTTTTCTTTCCCTTCTGCATCTGGTAAGGAGACTGTTACTGTGGGGTGCTGGGCATCTGGCATAAGGCAGAGGTAGGACAGTGCTTATTAGCTAAAGATTAGATCCCCCCTCCGTTCCCCTCTCACAGCTCCAGCCCTAAGCTTCAAATCTCATTTAAATTCAAGCCTTCCTCCCTTTCTGCTCTCCCAGCTGCCTCTAATAGCTGCTCCTTAATGCTCTAGTCCCTCACTTGTGAACTGGTTCCCCAAAACAGCAGCCAGCAGCCACCTCCGGGGATTAATTATCCCTCCTGAAGCAGGAGGAGCTGCGGTTCCTTCGGTATTGTCTGCATTGCTGAGGCTGAGTTTGCACCTTTGCATCCAACCCCCTCCCTGACCCCCACTTAGAGCTTGGGGAAAAAGTGTTCAGATGGAAAATATAAGAGCAACACCTTCCCAATGGGAAAAAAAGAGGCAGGAGCTGGAAGAGGGGCCTCCTTCCTTCCCTTTTTGCCCACCTCATGGCACTGACCTGTCACCGTAAAACAACCCAGGCTCCAGGGGGCCATTACCAGAAAGCTCCTATTACTTTCTTTCATGCTCATCTCTATGTTTCAGGTCATTTTTTATGTCATTTAAGCCGTTAAGATTTTTTTTCCCCTAAGAAAATCCAGGCCTGCCTAGCTCTGGTACACCCTGGGGAGCAGGAGGAGGACCCAACGACCCCACACATGCCCGCACACCCTCCCAGCACTGTGTACTATGGGCAAAACCTTGTCTCACAAGGAGCTAGCTGAACATCCACACAAGTGTGTGCAAACACAAGAGGTTGAGATGCTCCTACACGTACAGGCATGTCCGTGCACGTGCAGTCACCATCAAGCAATGCCCTCATCCCACCCCCTCCTCCCCTAGAACTTTGTTGGAAAGCACTAGCTCAGCCAGAGCACCTCCAGCTTGTGCCTTACTGATGCCTGGTATCTGGTTGGTACTACTGATGCCTGAGTGTATCTCTCCCTCTTGGGGTGACAGTCGCACTAATAAGCAGGCACCATCCCCACCATAGGATGGAAAATATGAGTGCTCTAAAACAAAAACCCTGATGCAGTGCAAAGCCAGAACCAGAGGGATAAACCCAGCACCCTGGGACACCAGCTCACCTAAAACATTTAATGGGGCTTGGGCACCACACAAGTGATTGATTGCCTGTCTCTTCCTCTTCCTGCAACAATTAGCAGCTCTGGTCATCAGTTGCCCTCTGTCCAGGAGCTGAGGAGGCATCGGTCTCCACCACTGTTTCCTGGGGGCCTGGGATGCAAAGGGAAAGCAAACGGGCATGTTTTGAACAAAAGGATAAAGAGGCCAAACCACAGATGAAACATCACCACTTCAAAGAGGAAAAGATAGATAACAATATTAGTCACCACCCAGCAAACAACCTACCTCTTCAGCCTGCGGAGGGTAAGAGGAGTCTTCCATCCTCCTCATCATCCTCCTCCTCCTTCCCGTCCTCCTGCCCCCAGTCCTGTTTATGATACGGTCTATGACAAAACAGCTTATTAAAGGAATTATGCAACTGAGCTCCTACCTTTCCAAGCTGGATTTTTCCAAAGCCTTATGTTTATCGGGTAATTGTGCTGGAGACACCAGCACTACCTGTCACAAGCCCTTTTGTGGGCTTGTTTGTTTAATGAGGCTTCAGCTCCTTAATTGCTCGCATGCTTTGTTGGGAAAGCTTAGTCACATGGGTGCAAAGGTAATCCAGGAAAAGCACTATCAGTGTGCCCAATTAGGGGGCTGGCACTGCCTTTGGTATTGAACTCTGCCCACAGCCTCGGGACCAGCATCCCAGGAGGTCACTCGGCAAAAGGGCATCTTTACACCTCTCAGTGCAGACTGGCGCTGGGTCTCTAGCTTCTGGTCCATGTGCCCTGCGGGAAACTTGGCTCATAGCAAAAACATACACGCTTTTTGCCCTGGAACTGCCCAGGAAGCCCACATGGACATACATGGGAACCTGTGCATAGGTACCTGCCACCTTCTGAGGCTCCTTTGGGCACTTGAGGCACCTATCCAGATACAGTCCAGGACCTACCAGAGCAGCATCCTCTTGCAGAGGTGGCCATGCCTCTAGCACACCACTCAGACACACCAGAACACTGACAGACCTCCCTGGTTTGCTTCCCCTCACTGAGGGCTCAGCATCCCTGGGGTCCAGCCATGCCCTGACTTGTGCAAGTCTGGGAAGCTTGGATGAGCAGTTAGTGTCTATGTTTCACTTAGGCTGCCAGCAGTGGGGTGGCACACACACACACAGAGCAGCACTGTGATCTGTGTTAGAGTACCTCCCAAGGGACCAAGCCTGTGACAGGGTTTCGAGCCAGGCACTGTCTAGACACAGGGTAGAAGGCACATCGGGTGAAGCATGTGAAGTGCACATGCATGAAACGTGGGTGAGCCACACTCTGGCATGTGCTGTGCGTGCATCAGGGCTGGAAGAAAATCATCACGTACTATTTCAGTTTGCTTGTTTCAGACTTTGCTCCAATTTTAGTACAACAAATAAAATCACCTGCAAATAATAGTAATAATAAATACATAAATAAAGCTCTCTGACTGCAGCCCACTGGGTCATCTCACCCAGCCCAAATCTTCTGGTAAACAACATGCATAATGACAGCCATTGGGCTTCTCCAAGCGTCCATGCACATCTGTACTATTTAACGCCGCGAATGAAATCTCTATCTGTGTATAATGAGGAGTGCTCAGAGCAGTGACTCAGACATTCCGGCGTGCTTTCTTCTTGTCCTCCATGTGCAAAATGTAACTTTACTCATTTTTTCCAATGACTTTGGACTTTAAAAACAGTAATTAGCAAAGTCAGCTTGTTATCAGCTCCTGTCGTTAACCTGTCCTTCACTGCGTTCTGGTCACAGGCAATGCTTTGGCACTCATTTCCCAAGGCTTGCTTTTGTCTGGAGAATTAAGACAGACAAGTGAGGAAAATAGGTCCTAAGCCTGCAAGCTCTTCTGCACATCTTTGTTTAAAGCACTTGAACACTGAAGGAGCTCCAGACCGGGTCTTTATATAGCATGGTAAATAGCAGGCAAGACAAGAAATAAAACTTCAGAGGTATCATTTTCTCATTTCTCTTTCTAGTTACAGCTAGGAAGGATCGACAGATGCAAAGTGAAAATACCATAGGATCACAGAATCAGTGAGGTTGGAAAAGGAGGTCTGTAAGATCATCAAGTCCAACCATTACCCCAGGACTGCCAAGTCCACCACTAAATCATGTCACTAAGGGCCTTGCCTCACTAACAATGCTTCTCCTACTGTGTTTTCACAGTGGCTTTCATCTGCTCTGCTCACAAAGCGTTTTACTACCTGTACATCACTACACACTGCTGCATCTGCAGCCAGATAAAGGGCGAATGGCAATCTGCTACTCACCACCGCTCATGGGCATTCAGCCTAAGAAGCATTTCAAAGGGTGTTAGAGAGCCTGCGTCTCTTGAGGAGACAGGGGAAGCTGCTGTTTCCTCTAGCACGCTGGTGGTCCCCAGGTTTTCTTCCCTGGTGGGACAGACTGGTTGTAAGACCCCAGTGGAGGAGGTTAAAAGATCAGTGTCCCTTTGAAATCCCTGGGAAGACCCTAGTCCAGCCAACCTGCATGGGTGACCCACCACTGGTAGTACTTGGACTGGCGTGTGTGAGAACAGAAAAATACTCAAGAGAAATGCTTAACTCTACATATGAAAAATTAGAGAGGAAAGGACAACTTTGGCTGAATAATTCAGGTGATTCCTGGTTATTGGATTGTCTTTGTCTACCACGTGTTGCAGTGAAAATCTGGTGCATGCAGCAAGATAGTGCTACTCTGAAAGACCCACCTACAGCCAGAGGTTTCACTGGGAGGGAAAGCACACACACGGGAGCGAGGGAACAAACAGCATCAGGCTCTACAGCTGGAGACAAAAGACAGGCAGTGGATTTAAGTCAGACTTCTTGGTCTAACTGCTTTCCTTTGCTCAGGTGGGATGAGCCTCATGAAGTTCAAGGGCTTGTGAACCTCTGTAGCTAATTTTGGGTTCAGACAGGTCAGAAAATGAGGTCACGAACTGTTGTTCTTACACTTAAAACTGATTTCCACCAACAGAGACACAATGTTATTTAAATCACATTTTCCAGGCTGAAGAGAGGTCTGTGCTACGTGACCACACTTCAGGAGAGCTCTTGCCTGTGTCAGCATCTCCAGTACATGCGTGACCTTCAGCATGATCGAAGTCAATGGGATGTCCATGGGCTGGGCAGCTGCGAGTGGGATTGAATGTGGCCCTGAACTGGACCTGCCTGTGAAGTTCTGCCTTCCTCCCTTCCCTCCTCCCTCAAGTTAAGCCAGCACAAGCAGCATGCAGGTGGCACAAGCTGCATGTGCTTTGCCCCTGCAACCTCTCTTTCCACCTCCATTGTCTTCGCTGCACATTCTTACCTTGTTTTCTTCACTCTTCCCATTCCGCATTGGGTATTTTTTCACCCTGTTGTGTCCCTTCATGTCACCAACGCACAGATTTGGAGGTCTTTTTGTGGTGATTGAGGAACAAGAAGTTTACAGTGAATTCAGTCCAAGGGGTGGATGCAGAATGGCTGGTCATAGATGTACAGACCTTTTTATGCTATAGAAACAGAGCCGTTGACATACGAAGGGACAAACCTAAAAGGCAAAAGCACAGAAGAAACTAGGGGTGAGGTTCAGCTCATCTAGCTTCAGCTGCCTGAGAGTCGGGCATGCAAACTACAAGGTTATCTAGTGAGGGCCAGAGGATCTCCAAGAAGTAATTCTTTCCAGATAGGCTGCTAAAATGAATCAGTATCTGGAGGTGTTTACCTTCTTCTGTGGAGTACAGGAGGAGACCTAACAATTAGCTCAGAGTAGACACCCAAGTTTTAATTACAATGGAAGCAGTTCTGCATAGAATCATCAAATCACAGAATAGTTTGGGTTGGAAGGGACCTTCAAAGCACATCTAGTCCAACCCCCCTGCAATGAACAGAGACATCTTCAACCAAATCAGGTTGCCCAGAACCACATCCAGCCTGGCCTTGGATGTCTCCAGGGATGGTTCATCCACTGCCTCTCTGGGCAACCTGTGCCAGTGTTTTACCACCCTCATTGTAAAACATTTCTTCCTCACATCCAGCCTGAATCTCCCACTTTTAGTCCAAAACCATCACCCCTCATCCTATCACAACAGACCCTTCTAAAACGTCTCTCCCCATCTTTCTTATAAGCCTGTTTTAAGAACTGAAAGGCCTCAATAAGGGTTAGCATGACTAGCCCAGTGCCAGAGAGGTGGCATCACAGGGTCTGCAGCTGGGAGCTTTTTGCTGCCTCCCTGGGTGAAACTCAGCCAAATCAACTCTTTCCTGACAGCAGTGGCTCTGGAGGTTCCTTCTGATCAGGTTTCCTCTAAACTGACTGCTGCTTCATCACACCAGGAACTTCCCCTGGAGACAAATGTCTTAGGCTTATTGGAAGAGAAAGGTACAGGAAGTCACTGCTGGCAAGCCCCTATAAAGCACTGAATATCCACTGAAGTTACATATTATACTTCATGCAAACTGTGGCCAATCCCATTTTAGTTACACAGATTTAACTGCCCATGTGTCTAGGGTTCCCACTGGGAAAAACTAGGAAGGATGCTGCGTGGACAGGAGCAGATGGGCAAGATAGGGTCTGTGAAGCACGCTGCAGCAAGCAGCTCAGAAAGGCTCTGGAATAGGCCAGAACAGCACAGATTTCCACCTGGGAGCAGGGGCAGGGTGCACAGTGGCACACAGCATGGCTCCTGCTTGCCATAGATGAACACTTGCAGGATCTCCCATATGCTGCACACAGGCACCCACAGCAAATCCAGCCAGGAACTGGCACCTGAGCACTGTGGATTTCAGCAAATCTCATTTCAGCTCAGCTCTGCATCCCATGGATAGGCAACTCTTGAGACTGTGCACTACAGAGTTCCTTTGTCCTTCAGTGCAGGGGATAATAACCACAGTATGGATCAGCTGAGCCTCATGGGGACTGATGAGCCCTCAGTCCCTCACTCCCCTCCTCAGAGCAAGTTCATGCATGAGACCCTGCTCTAATGCCCCCTCTGCATCCCCCTTTTGCAAGGGTATCCCCAATCCCATTAGCTGGATCATTACCAGGTGAAACCCACCCATTCAGTGTCAGAAGGCTGTGGAGGGTAAAGCAAGCCACCCAACTCCATCCAGCTCACCTCCCCCCTGCAGGACCCAGAGGTGTTGCCACACCAGCCACCAAACAGGCACTGTTTTACCCTGGGGAAATCCCACCACAGCTCTCTCTGAAGCAGGGGCTGGTCATTGCCCCCACAAGCAGCATCCAGAGCAGCCTTGACAGCCACGGTGCTGGCAGCAACCACAGTGGAAAAGAGTCGTCAGACCCTGCTCAGGAAGGCTTGTGCTCGACAAATATTTGTGGAGCTGATTGCAGCCCGCCTGGCTCATGCTTCTGAATGCAGAGAACCTGTGGGGAAGAGTTTAAACCCCTCTAATATCACCACCCTTCTTCCCTCCCCCAGCACAGCTGGAGAAAGCTGCAGTCCTGGGCTGTCTCCTCATGGAGCACAGTGGGAGTGGGCTATTGGCTATGACATGGCAGTGACCGTGCTGAGATTTTATTCCCATGTTTTCCCTTGCATTGATCCCCACCATCGCAGGCCGTAACCAAAGGCATCAGCCGATGCAACCCCAGGGGAGCTGCCTCGTTGCAGCTCCGTCTCTGCAGCTCGCAGTAGAGCTGTTGGCTCCCAGCAGGTATGGCAGGGCATCATGCACGCCAGCGTGTGCCCAT